ATCAATTGTTTGCTGAGGTGAGTGGGTGTTGGCATTCAGCAGAAATCCCATTCACTACCATACCTATCTCTCTGGCAGGAACCATGTAGACAAAGTCTTTGTGTGGCCTGTTTTCTGGAATAATTCTGCTTTTACGCATAGAAGTGATTTTATATATCCTCATAGCGTAAAACGGTTTATTATTGTTTGTAAAAATGCGTCCTGAATATGAGACATGAGATCTTGTAGAAAGAATAAAATCATAAAACATACTTTAACACGTCTTTACTAAAAGGAAACTAAATTAAACTTCGGTGACTTAGAAATAAATTTAAGAAGTTACAAAAATTAAACGAATTCGACGTAATGGCGGTTAATTCTCTTTCTGAAAATAGCTGCCTAATAATACCTGTCTGAATAAATCACGTCATTCTGCCATTTTTTATTTATTTTTTTTAATTTGCACATCATAATTTTAAAGCACTTAAAGACGCTGTTTACTTATTCTGACACATTTTTTTGGAAACGAAAGAACAGCGCCCTGTTCAAAATATAACCCCCAGCAATATTTGATCATATTATAAATACTGAGAGCTGAAAACGTGAATATATTTCACATTTCGTACTGCTACAAAATTTGAATCGATGCTGTTATCCGTGTACAGATCTTTGACGACCTGAAGTCGTTTTTGTTTTTGTTTTTTATTCTATGTTGCTTGTCCTGAACGGCAGACGAGAAGAGGATGATCCGTGGACGTGAACTGGAGTGGCACGTTTCCCGTCTGTTCTGAAACAACGAGAGACATCTGGAAGGCAAGGGGGCGAAACACTAATGCGTTGTTTTAAAGGGGATATATTTCATTCAGCACATATTCTGTTTTCAGACAGATACCGTGATATTAAATGTATTAAAAAATAGAAATTTTTAGTAGCTGTAAAATTACAGCGTGTCCATGTGCTTTTGTTTTGGATTTTATTTTATTTATTTTTTAAGCGTGAAAAATATGTTTAATAAATATAATAACGGTATAATCATGTGTGTAAAATAAAGGTGATTTGGAATGGTGGAGAGGCTTGAGTGTTTGCTGCATCTTTTTGTCGTTTGCGCTGCATCATATCACAGCAAGCTCTCCCTGCGAGAGGACACTTAAAACGAAATTGCATGGGTGCATTCAAGGCGCACAGTAGCTATAATACTCTGGAAAACACATTTAGGGTTGAGCCTGTGTGTGTGTGTGTGTGTGTGTGTGTGTGTGTGTGTGTGTGTGTGTGTGTGTGTGTGTGTGTGTGTCCTGGAAACAAAGCAGCGTTCACGACGACAGCATTTTCATATTACGCTTTTATTTATTGAGCCGCCTGGATTCATGGGAAGATTTGACAGATACTCCAGGCGCACTATAGGCCTGCAAATCAAACATTATTTTTCCCTCTAAGTCGACAAGTGAAAATAAATAAATAAATGAAATCTCATAAAATTCCATTTTTGGTGATGAAAGCAAATGAATAAATGGCGTTCATGAATAAAGCTGGTCGTATATATACA